TTACTGAAGAAATTATGTGAGGAGTAACCTCAGACAACTGAGAGATAAAAAAATCGCAGCAAAACAACCAGTGATGAGCACTGTATGCATATAACTTTAGGACTAACGTTAAATCAAATCTAAGAATAATGGCTACGAGTGTAAATGTTATAAATCCCAACATTAGAAATGGTCTAACAAAATGGAGAGGGGCGGGAGAGAGGAGATAAGAGGTGGTGTAGATATGCAGATTCCCACATCAAAGGATATAACTTAAAACTATAATTCCAATAATTGTAGTTTCAGTATATTTAAGAGTATAATGGTGAACATTTAGAAAAATAATCAACTAGGATTCTGTAAGCAAGAAGAGAGAGGGGTGAAGACAAAGGGGAAGTATGCTGATTTATTTTTTATAGTAGAGTCAATGCTAGCCATTAGCCACACGTGGCTATTGGGCTCTTGAAATGTGACTGATCTGAACTGCAATGTTTGTGAGTGTAAAACACAAATGAGTCAGAATCGACTCGACGGCAATGAGTTTGGTATTTTTTGGTTTTGAAGACTTAATGTGGAAAAAGAATGTGAACTATCTCATTAGTAACTTTTTATATTGATTACGTGTTGAAAAGATAGTATTTTTAGATATGTTGGGTTAAATAAAATATATTATTAAAATCAATTCCACGTGTTTCTTTTCGTTTTTTTTTGATCTCACATAGATAATTCTTTTTGTACCTTAGATGAAGATTTACAGAACAAATAGTTTCTCATTAAACAGTTAGTACACATACTGCCCTGTGACAATGGTTAACAACCCCACGACGTGTCAACACTGTTCCTTCTCAAACTTCAGTTCCCTATCACCAGCTTTCCTGTCCCCTTCTGCCTTCTAGTCCTTGTCCCTGGACTGCTGTGCCTCATTAGTCCTGTTTTGGTTTTATGCGACTGTCCAATCCCTGGCTGAACGGTGAACCTTGGGAGTGATTTCACCACTGAGCTAAAAGGGTGTCTGGGGGCCATACTCTCCGGGTTTCTCCAGTCTGTCAGGCCAGTAAATCTGCTCTTTTTTTATGCGTTAGAATTTTGTTCTACATCCTTCTCCAGCTCTGTCCAGGGCCCTCTATTTTGATCCTGGTCAGAGCAATCAGTGGTGGTAGCCAGGCACCATCTAGCTGTACTGGACTCTGTCTGGTGGAGGCCATGGTAGCTGTAGCCCATTAGTCCTTTGGACTAATTTTTTCTTTGTTTTTTTAAAATGTGGTGACTAGGAAATTTAAAATCACGTATGTGGTTTGTATCATATTTCTATTGGACAGTACTGGTGTAATGAAATAAAACTAAGTACATTAGATGAAATTTTAATTATAAAGGTCATCACTAGAATAAAAACACAAGCTACCCAAATTGTTAGAAAAAATAAAAATAAAACACAAGCACAAAATGTAGTGGATGCTGTGGTTCCGAAGACCTCCCTCTGGAGCTGAGCTCTCCTCTCCCTAGCTTCTGGGGCACAGCTCTCTGGGAATTGTCCTTGCCTGATGGGGACTATCTTACCCCTGGTCAGGCTCTCTCCTCGGGACAGCCCTTATCCAATGGTCAATGCCTGGGTACAACACTGGGCAGAGAATTGACAGGAAAAACCCACATGGATGCATGTGCTCAACTGTGTTTCCTTGAAAGGATTTGCTTGTTCAAATCTCTGCACCTTTGCTGTTCTTTTAGGTGTCAGCTCAAGGTGCACTGCTTTTTGTTTTATTTCTTTACATTTTATTAGGAAACAAATTCAAGCTTTCAGGATAGTTGCAAGAATAAGTATAAACCCAAACCCATTGCCATTGAGTCGACTCCGACTCACAGCAACCCTATAGGACAGAACAGAACTGCCCCATAAGGTTTCCAAGGAGCAACTGGTGGATTCAAAATGCGGACCTCTTGGTTAGCAGCCGAGCTCTTAACCACTGTGCCATCAGGGCTCCAAGATTAAGTATAGTAATGATATTCTCTTACATACAAACCACAGAACAGCTTAGTTCATTGACTGACTGATTGATTGATTGAATGAACCAGCTGCTCCTTCTATCAGTGGACTCTTGATCACAAGGCCTGAACCCCCCGCCCAAATGACATAAGCCAATAAAAGGGATGGGGGGCTTCCCGACTCATGAAACTGTAGAGGTCAGAGACAGACCTTGCAAGAGTGTTCTTCTCTCTCCAGTGTCAATTCTCAGAGGGCTGGCCTTATCCTTTTGTATCAGCATCAAGCCTGGTGCATCCCAACTTTGTCTGATGGCTGAGAATCCAATGGGGCTCCTGAGCCCCCTGCCCTCCCTAATTCCATTCTTTTTTTTTGCTTAATTTTTTTTTATTGTACTTTAGGTGAAGGTTTACAGAGAAAACAAGTTTCTCATTAAACAATTAATACACGTATTGTTTTGTGACATTGGTTGCCAACCCCATGACATGTCAGCACTCTCCCCTTCTCGACCTTGGGTTCCCCATTACCAGCTTTCCTGTCCCCTCTTGCCTTCTCGTCCTTGCCCCTGGGCTGGTGTGCCCATTTAGTCTTGTTTTGTTTTATGGGGCTGTCTAATGTTTGGCTGGAGGGTGAACCTTAGGAGTGACTTCATTACTGAGCTATAAGTGTGTCTGGGGGCCAAACTCTCGGGGTTTCTCCAGTCTCTGTCAGACCAGTAAGTCTGGTCTTTTGTGTGTGTGTGTGAGAATTTTGTTTTACATTTTTCTCCAGCTCCGTCCCTGTCAGTGATCTCCATCAGAGCACACGGTGGTGGTAGCCAGGCATCATCTAGTTGTGCTGGACTCAATCTGGTGGAGGCCGTGGTAGCTGTGGTCCGTTAGTCCTTTGGGCTAATCTTTCCCTCGTGTCTTTGGTTTTCTTCTTTCTCCCTTGCTCCTGAAGGGGTGAGACCAGTGGAGTATCTTAGATGGCCGCTCACAGGCTTTTAAGACCCCAGATGCTACTCAGCAAAGTAGAATGTAGAACATTTTCTATATAAACTACGTTCTGCCAGTTGAGCTAGATGTTCCCCAAGACCATAGTCCCCACAGCCCTCAGCCTAACAATTTGGGCCCCCCCAATTCCATTCTTCCTGTCCTCAGTAGGAAGCACCTTCCACTCATCCACTCATCTGTTCAAGCCAGAAATCTGGGAGTTGTCCTTCACTCCACCACACTTTTGTGGAGTGTACCTTCCCAAAGCTCTCCACTTCTCCTGGCTCTCACAGCCACCACCGTGGTCCATGGCTCAAACCCTCTGCCTCCTCACTTGTCTCCCTTCTTCCTCTATAACCCCAACCATCTCCACATAGGATTGGAGGAAGACTCATTAACAACCTGTATTATGCAGACGACACAGCCTTGCTTGCTGAAAGTGAAGAGGACTTGAAGCACTTACTGATGAAGATCAAATACCACAGCCTTCAGTATGGATTACACCCAACATAAAGAAAACAAAAATCCGCACAACTGGACCAATAAGCAACATCATGATGAACGGAGAAAAGATTGAAGTCATCAAGGATTTCATTTTCCTTGGATCCACAATCATCATCCATAGAAGAAGCAGTCAAGACATCAACAATGTATAGCAGCTGCCAAATCTGCGGCAAAAGACCTCTTTTAAAGTGTTAAAAAGCAAAGATGTCACCTTGAAGACTAAAGTGTGCCTGACCCAAACTATGGTGTTTTCAATCACCTCATATACACGCAAAAGCTGGACAATGAATACAGAAGACCGAAGAAGCATTGGCGCCTTTGAATTATGGTGTTGGAGAAGAATATTGAATATACCATGGACTGCCAGAAGAACGAACAAATCTGTCTTGGAAGAAGTACAACCAGAATGTTCCTTAGAAGCAAGGATGGAGAGACTTCGTCTCACGTACTTTGGACATGTTATCAGGAGGGACCAGTTCCTGGAGAAGGACATCACGCTTGGTAAAGTAGAAAAATCTCAAAATCCGTTGAGTCGATTCTGACTCATAGTGACCCTATAAGACGGAGTAGAACTGCCCCATAGGGTTTCCAAGGAGTGGCTGGTGGATTCAAACTGCTGACCTTTTGGTTAGCAGTCAAGTTCTTAACCACAATGCCAGGTCAGCGAGAAAGAGGAAGACCCTCAGTGAGATAAACTCACACAGTAGCTACAACAACGGGCTCAAATATAGCAAGGATTTTCAGGATGGCGCAGGACCAGGTACTGTTTTGTTCTGTTCTACGTAGGGTCGCTATGAGTCAGAACTGACTCAACGGCACATAACAACTTTGCACTTTCTGGCCCCATGCTTCACATCAGTCTGAAATTTAAAATGTAGTGAATCCTTGCCTCCCTATCCCCCTTCTAAGGTCCCTGAGAAGGGGTGCTAGGACCCTCTTGTTTAAACTTCATGGCAGCTGCATAGCACAGGCTTAGGCATGTGCCTGTTGGTGTTCTCAATTCTGTTGAGTCCCTTTAGACTTCTGGCAACCCCACGTGTGTAGACTAGAACTGCTCCCTAAGCTTTTCAAGTCTGTGACCTATGAAGCCGATTGCCGGGTCTTTCTTCCGAGGAGCCTCTGGGTGGGTCTGAACCACCAACTTTTCCACTAGTCGTCAAACGCTTAACCATTTGGGCCCCCAGAGACCCAGATGCATGCTGGCTTTCCATAAATATTAAGTCAACGAATTAAAAAAAATACAGCTTCAGAGTCAAACGACCATGAGTGGGGATCCACCTCCCCTGCCCACCACCCGGTATGGGGTACTCATTCTTCTCAAAGCCCGTTTTAACAGTGCACTTTCCAAGCTCCCCAGTAGATGCCAAAGTGCAGGAAGTTCCAGAACCACGCCGCTCAACTTCCAATTGTGCCTCTATTAACTCAAGCACCAGGTGGCCCGTGACGCAGGGCCTCAGTTTCCCCATAGGTCCCACGGGTGGGAGGGGAGAAATGGGGCCACGTGCTCAAACGCAGGTGCGGTTACTGGGGATCCGTAGTGTATTAACGACACCCCCTCCTCCCAGGGCCGAGGCCAGGCCCGGGGGCCGGGACCCGGGCACAGGAACGCCCTCGCGGCCCGGCAGGCGGCGCCCGAGATCCCCCGCCCGCGCGCACACCTACTACGCGCCG